TTAAAAAAAACAATGCAGCATGTAATGTTGCTTTAAGTGCGCTACAAAATAAAATATCACAAAGAACAAGTCACAAACACCATACATACGTAGTATCATGTCTTTGTCTGACTGAGTTAGTAGCTCTGTTGATTTTTCAGCATCCACAATATCATCAAGAATCTGCAGTTGGGGAACAAAATCAAGATTGATATCAAAAGTGTCAAACCAGTTGCCAAATTCATACTGCAGATCAGTTGCACCTGAACATTTTAAATCTCCAGTCCTCTCAAGCCTTCGGTGGCAGCTGGTTTAGAAGGGAAGCTCCGACAGAGCCCTGCATCTCTGATCTGGCACATATTGTTCTCAATGCCCTCGTGTAGATCATGCTGTCCTGACATGAAACAGTCTCTGTCAGGCATTGTGCTAGACTTTTCTTCATGCAAGCTGGGCTTGCCAGTCACACTCGCCACGACCACAGGCTGTGATCCCCATGCCTTCCCACAGCACAGTGTAACACTTATCACCTGCAAAAACAATTTCCTCTTTTCAATTAAAGTTTTCATCTGGGTTATGTTTTTGTGTGTGTGGAAAAATACCTTTTTCTGTATAATTCTGATCTGCTTAGTAAATTACTGTTTAAAAAATTGTATTTGTTTAACTTTATTTACATAACATTGGCTCCACTCTCTTATACATATCAAATTTGGTAACATTAACTCTTGCCTCACATTACACATTCAAAGAATGCTTATGACTGTAAAGCACTACATCTGATACCTATGGAGGCACACCATCACCTCAACACCAGTGTGGTTTTATGTGTAAGCAATGTATAGAAAACTGATGGCCATGTACTAAATCTCTACATGGCAAGTTTTTTTTTCTTTAAAAAAAAAAAAACATGACAAGAAAGGACATCACAAGAAATGTTTGGTGAAGTAATCTATAAATATATGGAATTAGCACTGTATAGACAATGTAACTTACGATTAAGAAATGAATACTTTCTAACAAGGAAATAATTAAATTTAACTTCTGACCACACCATACCTGATCTATGTTGCTCCAAAAGGAGCGATCGACAGCAAACAACTTGGTTGCAATCTTGTACTGCAGTGTCTCCTGTCTGAAATTGTGATTCAACAAAACAGATGTATATGCACATGCCTCTTACTGTATACAATACACTACTAGTGGTTATAATAAGCCAGCTATACTACTGACTCTACCCACGCAGGTACTAGGAAATTTCCAGGAAAGAAAATGTGATTTGGCAGTCCTGACTGTACTTTAAAAAACAAGGGTATAACACTACAGGAAAACCACATAAACGCCAATTAGACAAAAATGCATGCTAACCGGAGACCAATAGCAATAACACAACACTGCTGGGACAGAAATTGTGTCTATGATAATCAAGTGTTGTTCACATCTTAAATACACTGTGTATGAACATACTTTCACTGTTCATACACAATTTGCTTCATGCCATGAAAAGCAATATTTTCAAGATTCAGCAGGAAAAATGTTGACACCTGGTGACGCAAAGAGCCATCATTCAGATGAAAAAATCTAACAGAAGTAAATCCCAGAAACCAAGCTGATCTGTAAAAAAACAGTTAAATTGTGGAACCTGGTGGTAACAAAGTAATATGCTGTCCAGTGTGTGTGTGGAATTGACTAATATATACCATTAACTCACATAAAATACATGCTATACTAATTAAAACACATGATAAATTATCGATTAAATAGAAATCAAAAACAACAAAAAAGTCAGAGAATGCCAGAATATACACAATCTCTCAGAACAGCGAGTAAAACACAACGTGTACCTGTACGTCTGCCAATAATTACAAAACACAACTTGACTCCCCTGTATCTTAAGATGAACATGTTTCAAATGTTAGGACGCACAAATGAAAGGCAACCACAGTATGCCGGGGCCAGAAAACGTTACTTAAACCATACCATAAACTTATTTTAGATTGTTTTTTTAAATGCCCCTTTGCGGACGACAACTATAACTGCTCATGTTTCTATTTTCTTGACTTTCTATGGCAAGCAATTCATTACTCCATTGTTCCCAAAGTCTCTTCTCAATATTCAAGAGGACTGGTCATTCTATACTATGTGTGCGTGTGTAAAATAACAAATGTAAAAGTACACTGATCCTGATAATCTCTCTGTGGTAACATTTGTTACTTATAACAACAAATGGCCACAGGACAATTGGTATGATTATTTATCGTATGGGAGTCTCCGTGGCGAACTGGTCAAACCCTTTGCCTCACGCTCTGGGGGTAGTTTCACGGCAGCACTGTTCAGTTCACGAAGTCAATTTTAACTAGGATCATCGCCACAGCTACAGAGGTCGTGCTCTGTGCGACGCTCTCAGCAGGCAACTAGCTGTATTATGGAGAGAGACTGATCCATATGAGATAATAAAAAATGGTGCAATAAAGTCAATCCTCTTATCTTTACCTCATTATAAATAGCCAGTTAAAGACAGATATATTGGGTCAACATTTCTTATCACAAGAGAAGTGCTGCCAGGAATTACCAGGGGATCTGGCTGACCCTCAACCCTCAAGGAAAAGACGAGACAGATATACAATCAGTTACTGGTGCCATGAGAATTGGAACTCTTCGTATGCTGCTGAAGATGGGGATAGAGCGCTTATGGGGTGTCCCGAGTGCTATAATACTGATTCTTAATTCAACATATGATAAGAGAAACTACTCACTCTTTCTCTCCATGATCTGTCTGAGTCTCACAACTGACTTTGTCCCCGCCATCTGCATCTTCTGAACAGTAATCGTGAATTTTATCATCGGAGGTACTTTCATCATCTTCTGGACTATATACACTAAGTGCAGCCTCATTCTCAACCATAGAATCTTCATTCTTTTGGATAACTTCTTCCTTTATGTGATTATTTTCATCCCTTTTTTGTTCTTCACATACGACAAATTGCTTTTCCTCTGACTTTTCTTTTTTTATCTTCTTCAGTTTTGTAAACTTCTGAGCTCTCTGTTTCTTTGCCTCTTTAACTGCAGCCTGATGGACAACTTCTGTTTCATTGCTCACAGCAACAGCAGTTTTCGGTTTCTTGGGTGGCACTATTTCATTGCTCAAAGACAGCTTGTGTTTGCTAGATGCTAAAAGAAACAAAACACACACAAAAAGAAATAGTGAACAAATATAACATTAAATCAATATACTGTAAACAAAAAAATGACACATCCACATAACAGAAATTTATCGGGAATAATTATCTTTAAAATAAGTATGAGTCAAAACTGAAATTTTACTTTAAAAAATATGCAAAGAGGACTGGGTTTTATCTGATAAAGCTCAGTCTCTTATTTTGAAAGTTGCTACATAAGTTATTCATATTTATGAATAAAAACTGTTAGTAATTACAGGACAGTGGATCTAATCTTGTTTTCTCCCTAATGGGCCCCAGGACCCACACAGATATATATATATATATACCCACACACACCAATGCCAGACATGGAGAATAAGTAAGTAGAGTTCAGCAGTAGAAAATTAAAACCTGTTAAATGTGCTGTAACTGAAAGGTCACCAACAACAAGAAACAGCGTCATGAATACCAGCATAAGAGAGAAGATTGGAACAAGGCTGCTTGAATTACACAGAAACAGAATTTAGTGACTAAAACAGATAGTAAATATAATGCCACACTAAATTATATATGAGACCTTCACAAGATGAAAAGTGAGAAGAGATGAATAGATAGTGTAACCCTGCAAAAAAAAAAAAGTTTAAAAACTGACTCATCACTGAATCCACCCAAGAAGCAAAAGCAAAAGACAAACACAAAACCAGGACACTTGCTACAGCCTGGTAACTGTGTTCAAGAAAAAAAAAAACATTTGCCAAATTTGTTGTGTGCCTAAACTAAAGAAGTACAACTGGCAAAACTACTATTATTAAAAGCAGGAAGCCTGGAGATTACTAGATAAGTCAATGCAAAAAATTTTTTAGCAGTATTCTTTTTGTTTCACACAACATGACCCAGAAGCCCACTAGAATGAGGTTTTATGGGCGGGAAACTCAAATTTAAAGCATTAACAACATTTTATTTTCTTCTTTGTCGTGTTCACCGGCTGTAGACTCCGGCAGCAAGTTTGTTGTTCATCCACTTCTGGAATTTGGTCTTGATCCAGAATTCAAGTTCTGTGTGCACATCCATAGCAGCTGCTGGGTGACTCTTCCAGGCCATAAACCAAGTGTTTCTTAACCAAAGAGAAATTGGATCAAAATGGCTGTTTACTGCTCTACCTATGTGCCAGTCTTAACCTAAGTCATGGGCATTGACAAAATCTCACAGAAGCCAGCTTCAGGCCTTAGAAATGAGATATCTGAGAAATGTGGTCTAGGTGACAAGAAAGGACAAAGTCCGCAATCAGACAATATGTTGAGATCTTGATACCCAGCCCTTACAAACCCGAGTGGATCAGTCACAGTTACGATGGTTTGGACATGTATGCAGAATGGGAGAAAATCTGCCACCATGGCAGGCTAAGAACCAGACCTCCAAGGCCCACTGGGAAGACAATATTCAACAGTCCCTAACTGACAGAGGGCTGGAATGGAACACAGCCAGAAAGAAAACTGCTGACAAAGACGTCTGGCAATCTCTCTGGCAAACCTCTACACTCCAATGTAGAAGAGGAGCAACTAAGTAAGTGCACATCCATTTTAGAAATCTAGCTTTATTGGCTATTGCTTCCTCGCCTTTCAGGGGATGCATTTTAACTTGGAAGGAAACATCCATACTTAGCCATCTTTTACTCCTCCCCGAAAGGAAAGGAACAAAACCCACACAGGGAAGTTAAAGATTTTGTTTAAAAGGTTAATTTTTAAAAACACATGATACAAATCCAGAAGCTTTAGAGATACATGTGAACATTTGCTGTTGCCCTGTAATCATATGTACATCTTTACTATATCCAGCTTGCTATTTGAATAACATAAAAGATGTGCTTCACAAATATATCTTACCATTTTTACTGCTTTTGAATAACTGATTTCTGGTAGAAAAAGTTTTCTTTTCCTCTGAAGAGAAGAAAACAATGTGTGCATTAAATTAACATCGAACAATCATGTAAGATATTAAATGTTGTTCGTACATCACAAGTGATGAAGAACACTTCTCATTCAAGTAGTAATGATCAATGATTATGAATATGAAGGTGGCTGGATTTGTGCCTGGAAAGTTTGAGCAGTGTGGACAAAGGTAAGTGTGGCATTAGCGATACGGTTCTTTTGCGATACAGCCTGCCTTAGTATCTCTGCCTGTGCAAACTTTGCTGCCCTGTCAGGCTGATGCACCATGAATGAAGGTTTTACACTATCTAGTGCTATCTAGAACAATATATTAAAATAATGACAACTCAAATGTAGGGTCATGACAACACTTTTCAATGACACAGATGAAGCCACACAAAAAAAACATGCTGATGTCACAGAAGCCAATATTTTTGTTGTTACTCTCCTTGTGTGGGTTCCAGAACACAATTTCAGGGGCCAATAAATAGCCTTAACACGTGTGTAAAAAATTTCTCAGTTTGCTGAAACTGAATGTTTTGTCCAGGAGGTTAACCCGGTCAAGAAAGGATGTGTCGGCCAAAAGGCGCAAATATTGAAGCTCTGCTGTAAACAGGAATAACACATTTGCGTAACTTGGATGAATGAAAAAAAGAATGTGCTGAGCCGCAAGATGCAAATATCACAGCCTTACCATAAACCACAACGCCTCAACTGTCCTTTGAAGGGTGAACACAGAAGAAGTTAGTCCACAATGATTTTCAGAGAGCGGCACGACAGATCTTCTGCCTTCTATCCCCTAATGGGGCATGGGCCCTCAACCAACTCATGACAAGTTGTTCGATCCTTTGCCCTTGCATGCAGCTCTTCTGATGTCCTCCCCATCTTTTTTTTTTACTTTCTAGCATCCTACTCCACATGTTTTTTGGGTCTTCCTTTATTTTCTATGCCCCTGTGAGTTCCAATGCATAGACATTCTGGTAGAATACTGTTCTCAATTTGTACTACTGTGCCCTATCCAATGCCAATGTTTTTCCTTCACCTCTTGGTCAGTGACATGACACATAATACTATCATCTAGCATTTGTAACAGACATGTTAGAAAAGTCTCCTATGATTGTTGAGACCTTTTCGTGCTTATGTCAGATTTAGCATATGGTACTAGACCTTACTTTCTACACACTGGTACTCAATGGGTGATATGGTCAACACAATGGAACATTTCCTGGTGTTCATTGTTGGATGTGTGGATCTGGGACAGCTGGGAATGAAGAAATTAGAAGGGACTGAAACCAATCATACAATTCATTAAAGAACAACGAATGAGATGGTTTGGCCACCTGACGAGAATGCCCTGGTATCAACTGCCTCACTGAACACAGAGCAAGAAGAAGACCACACAAGATTTGGAGTCACATCATCAGGAGCAACATTACAGAAAAACTTGTACAATGCATAAAAAATAGCATAAATTATTCTTTTATCTCCCCCCTTAACACCTCGTGGAGGTAAATCATGGAAGTCCTAATGTACCCTGATACAAGTTAACACATGTCTAGTCTATTTTAGTGACGGATTTAGTCAATGGTGATGTTTATGTCCTTTAATCCAGCTGGGGATAAAGAAAAAAAAAGTCTCACACTGCCCCCCCCCCCAAAAAAAAAAAAAAACATCGCAGCCACTGCAACCTATACATAGACCAAAAGAGTTAACAATACAGGCAGAACATTATGTAACAGGAATGCCCTGACTATTCTCAAATTCTTATCTAAGAAAACCTAGTAAAAGCATGCATTTAAATTACCTTCTGAATAATTTGCCTTTGCATCATTTATATGACTCTTCAAGTGTGTCCGTATGCCCTGTCTGGCAATGCTTTCAAATCTGTACTCCTTAAATTCCTGCTTGCATACATGTGGACTGAAGGCGCATACAAATCTGAAGACTCGTCCAAAGTCCTCGCTGCAGTCCTGTGCAAGGACATTCTCTACAGATGATGGTGCACTGTCCAACAACTTTGTGACATCCTCAAACGATAGATACTCTTTCAACATCAGCCATTTCTACAATGAAAGGAAATTAAAATAAAATAGGAATATATGTACGTGGCAAGGATAAATATACATCTCTATTATCAGTTCATTTGCTTGTCTTATCACTGAACGTGCCAAAAAATTCACTTAAAGAACTACACTAATTACATCTAGCAGATAAATAAAACGAAAACAAAAAATGAACTGAATTTTGACTACTTTTTCTCATTAACCAAAATAAACCTAAAGAAAAACAAGTTTAAATACTAGTTTTTAAAGGTTTAGATAACAGGAAAAGGGGAGGGGGAGCAGGAGAAGAGACAGAGGAAGATAAAAAGGAGGGAGGGGAGAAGATAAACTTACCGGTATTCTCGCCATTCTCCTATCTTGTGGTTACATATAGACAGCCTAAAAAAAAAGTAATTGACCATAAAAGCAATTTCATGCAGTAAAATCTAGACAAAAGGTTCTGAAAGTCAGTAGCAAAAAGACATGTTCATGAATGTCTGAGGCATATAATCAGCACATGTGTTTTTGTCAACTGGCAATGCAGATTTCCTATCTCACACAATAACCAAGAGTCCCGCATGAAGGTTATGTTCTTGTCCCAATTAACCTATGTGGACAAACTGAGCAATTAATTATCTTTCTGACCTGCTGTTGCCCCCCCCCCCCCATTTTTTATGAGTTAACTACATTTTTATGCTAATTTCAGAAACTGTTAAGTGGAAAATAGTTAATATTACTGGTCAGTGTATAATCATTAGGCTGGAACCTTTTCAGAAACAATCTAGTTAATATTTTTTTAAAGGAATCAACAATGTTATTGCTCTAGAATTTTCAAAACTCCTGAAGGTGTCTGCTGTCTGCAACTTCATTAGATTGTTTCTCCAGCGTGGTGGTGTTTTGTCTCACATACTGTATGGTAATGACACTAATGTTCATACTGGATTTAAAAGTTGCCATGGCTAGATACCTAAAGAGAAGATGGATGAGGGACATCCTGGGTCTGGGTCATCTATGTATTTAACCAATAATGCTAATAACAGGTTTTCCATTACTATTTTTTAAGTTTATGTAATTAATCATATTCTCTTCATAAGCGCCGGAACCTAAACATGCAAACCGAGTCCCCTTCCCTAAAATTTATATGAGTTGAGTTAAGTGGGTGGGGGAGGAGACAGTCTGACATCAACACCCCCCCCCCCCCCCCACAAAAATATGCAAAGTGTGATAAGTGGTCCACTTGCTTAGTATTTATTTCTACATTTCATGATATTTCAAATATATTTATTTCCATATAATAACAGAATAATAATTATTTTTTGCTACTTCTACCAACCTTGCTAGGTCATATATGTTCTGTTTTTTTTTCTTTCTTTCTTTTTATTAGCCCACCATTTTACTTTGGTTTTACTTTGACTCTGATTTTACTATTTGTATAATCTGCTTTCTTTGCCTTTCCTTCTACTGTGTATCAGCTTGTGTTGTTATCTGTGCTTTACTCTACTGTTCCTCCTTTCCATGGACAACTAATAACTGATTGCTGGTAGTCTTCAATACTCACCCTTACCTACTAACTGTTGCATAGCCTAATGCTTATTCCAGTTTATTTATATAAACTGTTGCTCAGAGTTTTTATCTCCAAGATGTCCTACAGGGTACTCTAACTATGTCTACATTCATAAGATGTTACGTATCTCTTGAGCTCCAACTTAAATTTACCCCTCAGCAGATGATCTGAATCTACCTTAAAACCTGTTTACAAAACAAATGCATCATGTAAAGATAATATAAAATTCTTGTTAATACAAACATGATAAATTTGATTTTCCATTCTGTGGTCTGTTCAATGTTTATCATACATAGTGTTACTATTTTTTGTTTCTCTTGGACCATGAGTCTTGATGACTGATACAGATTATATAAATAAAACTACCATACAAGCTGTTTTCTAAATATTTTTTTTAATTATTCAATTACAGTTAGTTAGCAATACATAACAATTATTATGTGCATAAATTTCTACAGGACTTTCCAAATCAAGACCAGCAATGCTAAGTATTGTGATTCTGACACCATTGTCAAAATCAATGCAGAGTGGTCTGCTACCGAATCAACAGCAGATGACTGAAAGATCAGTATGTTGAGACTGTGAAACTCGTCACAATGATTTAACATATAATGTTAGACTCACTGTTCTGCAATATGTTTAGTGGATATGTCTGATTAACATAGCCGGTTTATTTAAAGCCCGTCTATAAATAATGTTGGGTGATGTGATTAGAAAATCGGCCACCATGGCAAGCATGGGAGGCTAAGAACCAGGGAACCAGACCTCCAGGGCGACCTAGGGTGCGCTGTGAAGACAACACCCAACAGTCCCTAACTGGAACAAATCCAGAAAGAAAACTGCTAATAGAGACACCTGTCAATCTCTCTGGTAAACCTCTACACCCCAAGGTAGAAGAGGAGTGACTAAGTAAGTAAGTAAGGGTTATGTGATCAATATTGTCCTGGCTGCCTTTACTTTCCAGGTATAAGAGAATTAGTTTAGGAAATATAGCACACAAGTTGCCTTGTGATATAAACTTTCATTAAAACTGTTGAAATAATAGTTTTTAAAAACTGTTTAATGTTTTCTTTTTCCATAAGTAAACATTCAATTCATTCATTCAGTAGCATGTCCCTCGCGGAACCTTTAACAACCCTCCGGAAAACTACACCCATCTTTACATGCACCCATCTTCACCTTGGCCTTCCTCTTCCTCTCTTCCCAGGCATATACCCCTCCATTATTGTTCTCTCTAGACTTCCATGACGTTTCAAGTGACCAAAATATTTCAATTTTCTTTGTTTTATTGTCTTTACTAGCCAACCCTCTTCAATATTCAGCTCTTGAAGTATGGATGCATTTGAAACATTCAATTAAGAAACATTTATTTTCAAACTGGCACTTTCTATCCATGTGTCAAGGTTAAACTTTGTGAATGCTATTATGTCTTACATTATAAACAATGCCAATTATAGCAGACCAGCTCCCACTAAGGTGAAGTCAGTGCTTGTGATAAGTAAGATCACCCATAAAGTGCTACCTATTGTTTAAAAATGTAGTCTGCCTTGTTGGTTTGTTAACATCACAAGATTCTATTTCCGCTCACAGTGGACCCCACAAAAATGAATATCAGATTTTTTTAAAACTGATAAGTAAACATTTATGTAAGAAACGCTAACATAAATACTTATGTTGGCACCATTTATCCATCTGCCTGGCCTAAACGAAAATATAATGATATCAAATAAGAAGTTATTTATGTCTTAGATTGCAAATAATGCCATTTATAGCAGACAAGATGAGGCTACAGGTCCCACTGAAGTGAGATATTTGTGTGACCACATGGCTTTGTAGTTCATCCACCTTTATGAAACAGTTAAACAAATTGATGATAAGTCGTGCTTATGATAACACCATCTATAAAATAAAGTGCTACCTGTTTTAAAAAAAAAATACAATGACCTGGCCTGTACCACGATTATGCCATGGCCATGTCAGTTTGGAAACAGTGAGTAGCATCACAAGGTCCCTAAATTCGCTTCCAGCAGACAAAAAAAAAAATATCCAAACTTTGAGACTTGAACTAAAAAACAATCTCACACTTATATATTTCTGTCACACATACAAGTAATGCCATTATAAGTAAATAAATTCATACATACATATGTATAAATACAATGTGAATGTAAAACAATATGTGACATAGATAGTCAATTCAGATCTGCCTGAGAGCATATTTTCTAATTCAAGTATTACTATTACATTATCACGTACACCATTTTACAAATGAATTGTTATGGCTAGTAATAAATATTTAGGCATTTGATTATCAGTCTATTAGAACATCAAGGTCAAGAAAGAAACAGTTCATACGAATATTAATTTAAAATACACAAATGCGGTATTTAAATGTAAGAATTATTAAAAAATAAAGTTTCACAGCAGACTACACTTCTAGGAGAGGCATTTCAAAATGGTAAATTTGCCAGCGAAGTTGGTTCTTGAGGGAGAATTATAGTTCACAATTAAAATTTCCCTAACTAAGGTCACGTAGTGAGAGAACAAATGCCATCTCGAAAACTGAATAAAGTTTAATTGAAGTTAAACATGTATTTAACATACCGTACAAATTATGAATTACTTGTGATGGTGTTAGCGATTCCCCAAGTACCAGAACGGCCCTTCTACCGCACACATAGGATGTCGAAAATACCCCAAACGTGGGTAGTTAAACCAATCGCGTGCCTCAACTGTTTCTTGGTGCTCCTCGCTAGCGTAACTTCCCCAATAGTAAATACGATATTTACATCATAAGCATAATTACAAGACTATATCATTACATTATTCTTCCACATTAGTGATAGAAACTAATGATAAGTATCTACTTTCAATCTTACCAACCGTCCTGAAGGCGTCCGAGATTCAACACACAGCTTCTTTCCAACGGTTTTTCGTCTGCTAACCCCCCAGAAATAGTCCGCAGGTAAACAATGCCTTCTAGCGCCGACTTCTATCTGAACAGAAAATAGTCCACAAAACTACATGGAATAGTTTTGGGCACAATGCACTTTGATATAACTATAAATTACATTGCTTATTTGGAAATAAACACAACGAAGTACATTTTTCTTGACAACATTAGCAGTGTTTTTAAGTTTTGAAGCCTGTGAAGTCCTGACTCTATGGCGCAGACATTCGCCGCGGCTTGCGCAGACGACAGGGAAAGTTAGGTTCTGGTCCTATTGCCAAGTTGCACCAAGTCGCGGAAGTTAAGGATAATTTGGCGACATAAACTAAAACCTGTAGATTTATAATAATTATCTCGATAACTTCTAATTAAAATTTCTAAATAATTTTGATTTGATACTTTTGAAACAATAAATACAGTATTAACTTAAATATAATTATGACTTAGTTCAACCCGTATTCACGTGTTAGAATACATCACTATGTGTATGCCACCTTG